TTTAGGGGGCACAACCAGTCTTACTCCCAACTCTGTGCTCAGGAATTACTCTTTGTGGGGCTTGGGGGACCATATGCAGTGCCAGGGATTGAACCAGGGTGGGTGGCATCAAAGGCAAGCATTTTAACACCTCTCTGGCCCCGAGATTGAGAACCTTGAGAGTAAAGCAGATGTCCGATGATCAGTCGCTGGTCAGCCCCTTGCAGGCTCCCTAGCAGATGGGAGGTGAGTCTATCTCACATTGAACAGATGTGGCACTCCCTAATCCACTGGCCACACAAACTCCTGACTCCGGTGTGGTCCTGCCAGGGAACTTGGACTCATCCACCTGCTGCCTGACTTTCTTTTCCCTCACACGGGGCCACCTGCCTCTTCCCAACTCCAAGCTCCTTTGGCCTCATCCTTGCCTCCTACCTTCCTCAGCTGTGCTGGCCCATCTCTGGTCTCTGAGTTACTCACCAGTCAGACAGCAGCGGGACTGCCTGCTGGAGTTCAGCTCAGGCCTTGGTGCCATCTGGGAGATGACGTGGGATTTGCTCTCAGTGCGGGTGGCACTCACCAGGGACGCAGTTGGGCACAAAAGCTTTCCCCTCCTCAGCCCCCAGAAAAGGTCACTTTTGCCTAATTTCCTTCTTGAGAGCTTGAGATATACCTTGATACATTTATTTTGCCGCCTCCCTGCCTTGATCGTTTTTTCAATTACAATTTGTCCCTGAAGTTCTAGTGGAGGGTTAATGAGGGGCTTTTCCTGATCAGAGATTCACATTTATGAAACCCTAATTAGGCACTGTCTTTGTGGGTGTCTTGGTGCAGGAAATGTGTGGGCAAAAGCCAAGGCTGAGCTGAAAAGCTGTTTAGACGCCCAATTAGGAGCTGGCGAGGGGAATTCTCGTCCTTCTGACCTGAGGCTTAGCCCCAGCTGCTCTTCTCCCTCGGAGGCCCACCTTGCAGAGTGCAAATCTTGTCCTCTGAAGTGACCCCTATTAAAATGAGATCAAATATGTCCCCTTTCAAATTGCTAGCATGGTACTTTATTTATTTTTTAAAAATCCTTGTGGTCAGGACTCAAGGCACAATGAATGTTCACTGCTGTAGGCAGGAGTGGAAACAGGTATGACCTTTTTCCAGGAAAAAAAAAATGACAATCTGAGTCCAGGAGAACCATCCAAAATGCTTCTAATCTGGGATTCTGAGGATTTCACAAGGATATAATCAGAAATGGAAACAATGGTGTGTGTACAAAGAAATTCATCGTGGCCACGTTTGTACTGCTGGGATATGATTAAGGGCCGGTAAGAAGAGCACAGTGATGTGCCGGCCAGGACAGCCCCTCTCTGCAGACCCCCAGAATGAAATGGCAGCCACGGCGGTGGCATTTTAATGCCGATCTTAAGCAAAAGTGACGAACTTTCCAGTCGTGCCTACAATGCGTTCATGCTGACCTTTCCCAACTGTTGTTTCCCAGGATGCTTATAGGAACGCTATAAATAGAGGAGTTCTATTTTCCAGCAGGCTGGGAAAGTCATTACAGGCGCATACTTTCAGGCGGCTGGGAGCCTTGGATATGCTAATGACATGACATTTTTCTTTTTTAATTCTAAAAAGAAATGGGACTCGCTGTCTAGGGTCCCAGTTCTTGTGGGGTGTGTGAGGAGTGGGAGAGGGTGGCTGTTTCTGAGGGCGGAACACCCCTCAGAAAAGCTGGGGGGAAGCCTAGGGAGAGGATTCCATGATCAAGAGGGCTGGACGCTGCTGAGGTGGAGATATGGAATTAGTTTTGATTGGCTTCTTCCGTGGGCTGTTTTCTGTGAGCTGCATGAATGTTGCGAGTGTGTGAGAGAGGGGCTGGAGGGTGACACCTTCAGCAGATGTGGAGGCTTTAACCTGCAGATCCAGCGGGGACCAGGTAGTCTGGAGGGGAGCCCACCCCCTAGCCCTCCCACCACACCCCTGCACCCCCACCTGTTGCTCTGCCCACACCCATAGGGTTTGGGGTAGTGTCGGCCCCTCCCCATACCATATAGGGCCAGAGATTTCCTGATGCCTCTGGAATGCCCCCTGGAATGGTTGATATTCAGGTTCTGGGATTGCTGCCTGATTTTCCTTGACTGCAGACCTCAAGGCCTGAGTGGGCCTCTGGGGAGATGGCTGCTCCTCATTCACATATTCTCCTTAGCTGGTGATGTAGCTCAGTGGTAGAGTATGTGCCTTGCATGTATGAGGCTTTGGAGGTTTCCCACCACTGGAAAACAAAAACAAAAACAAAAAACAAGAAAGTGAAGTCAAGTACTCTCTTCAACTTCCATGGTTCCATCAACACTAGACATTGCTTTTTTTCTGGTCCTTTATCTACTTTCAGCACACATCTCCCATCCCGAGCAATTCCTCCAACCATTATTGACTTAGTGATCCCTTCTTTATTCTAGCTGCCTTCTCCCCCAGCTCATGAGGCAGGCTTCCAGCCGTGGAGCAATCTTCCTGGCCCTTATCTCTACCGTCCTTGGGTGTTAGTCTCATATTATGTTATTTTATATTCCACAAACGAGTGCAGTCTTTCTATGTCTGTCCCTCTCTTTCTGACTCATTTCACTTAGCATAATATTCTCCAGGTCCGTTCACTTATCAACCTGAGTCTCCAAGAACAGACTACTGATTAAGGAAACTTTGATATAGCTACACAATGGAATACTATGCAGCTATTAGGAAAGATAAAGTCATGAAATAGACACTGTCTTTGGGTCTTCCATTGTACCCCATGCCTCAGAGCCCTGTTCCCCACCCAGCTTGGTCTCGCTTATGAGGCAGGAGGGGAGTATAAACCAGGAGTGACAGCTCTACCAAGTGTAGCTGGCACCAAGCTGTACTCAGCAGCATGTCATAGGATTTCAGAGACATCTGCTGAACCCCTCCTGCTTACCTTCCAAGGCCCCCTGAAATATTCATCAGACTTTATCAGGCTAATGGGCTTCAAAAGGAGCAATTTTCTGAGATATGAGACAGGACAGTATAAAAAGAACATTAAGGACAAAATCCTTATTCCAAAATGAAAGGGAAAAGATCATTTAGCATCCCTGTTGGTGTTATCTATTCATGAGAAACAGCACATTCAATCCAGAGTGGGATGTCGGCCGGGCTTTGATGCCCTCACCTTGGGGTCACCTTCATGCAGAACTCATCTTTCTCTGCTGCTACACATGGCAGTGGCGATGCAGATGAGAGGATCCAGATGAGAGGAGCAGAAGAGGCGGGGAGCAGGGATTAGAGGGAGAGGGAGCATGGGGAGAGAGAGTCCAACAGAACTGCAAGGCACTCGTGGGTGGGGCTCTGGGAGAAGGGGGACTCCATCCTCCAACCTCTCCACCTTTGATGCTTCTATCTCCCTTTCCAAGACACACCCGTCTCGGATTGGATTTGGAACCATGCTGTGTAAGTCCGGTTACTTGAGGCCAGTGATGGTGGCTCCATCCCAGCTCCCAATGTCTCTACTCATCTGAGAAGGCCAAATTCAAGTCTCAGCCCAGAAATCAGACATATTGGGTGCAGATGGTTTACAGCATGAAGACGTCTGGATCTCTAACTTGGGGCACAAGGACTCTCATGAATGATACTGAGTTGAACACAGAAAATTCTCTAGAGAGTCGATTCTAGGTGCTCTTACTACACAAGTGCACAGGGAAATTTTTCCCTATGAGGGAAAAGTAGGTGGATCAGCATGACCGTGGTAATTATTTTACCACATATATGTGTGTGTGTGTCAAATCACTTATGTTGTGTATCTTAACTATGTGCAATGCTTTTGGATATCTACGAAGTTTTAAGTGTGACATGGGGGCATCTATCCAAGTGACTTTTGCACTCAGTGAGCCAAAGATTCCCCTGTCTTATAGAAAGACCCCAATTTTTGGATCCCCTTCTCACCCACCTACCTGGGGACTCCAAGATAGGATGTGACTAGGGTCTGTTGGAAGACTAGTTCTCTCAGATTTATTTTGCTTGAGTTTTAAGACTTCCGATAGGGGAGAAGGGATTTGAGCTTTCTATTCTCTGATGTCCAACCTTCTTCCTCTTTCCAAATGCAGTTCCTTCTCTTTTGCTCCTTTCTCATTCCCAATTCTCTCTTCTGTTTTCCTCTTTCTAGTCCCATCCATATTCTTCTTCTCTAACTTCCCCTTCATTTCTCTTGCAATATAGCATCTTCTTTTATAGAATTCTAATCTACCCCAAACTTAGAGAAATAACTTTAATTTCATTTTTTTCTCTCCTAAAGAAAAAAATAAAAATATGGGCGTGGTGGATAGGGCACTTGTCTTGCATGTACCTGACAAGGGTTTGATCCCTGGCACCCGATAAAAACCCCCAATGCACTGCCAAGAGAGATCCCTGAGCAAAGAGCCAGGAATGAGCCCTGAGTATCATTGGTATGGCTCCAAAACCAAAGAAACAAAGCAAAAAAAAAGAAGAAAAATTGTATACAGATTTTTGCATATGACCCCCAACTACCCCCCCAAGAACTCACCAGCCTACATAGTTATTATATGAACAAGAAGATCTGCCCTTATCATCAATACTATCAAATTTTGACATACTTATTGAATACTTAGGTGTCCTTCTGCCCCAGTTTGGCCATTGTGTTTGTTCTTTGTTTTTTTTCTTCTTTTGGAGTCACACCCTGAGATGCACAGGGGTTACACCTGGCTCTGCACTCAGGAATTACTCCTAATGGTACTCAGGGTACCATATGGGATGCTGGGAATCAAACAGGTCAGCCGCATGCAAGGCAAATGCCCTACCTACTGTGCTGTCGCTCCAGCCCCTGGCCATTTTGTTTGTGTGAACTTCTCTAGACTCAGTCCTATCATACATTACAGTCGTGGAGTTCTTGGCAATAAAAACTGTTGATCGAAACGTGTGATCTTCCCTTTCCAGAAGGAGAATAAAAGCCTGTTTGAACTCTTATTGCACATTCAATTTTAACTGTCACTTCTCTTTCTTCTAATTAGATTTGTGACAAAGAGTGGCATTACTATGTCATCAATGTGGAGTTTCCTGTGGTCACCTTATACATGGATGGAGCAACATACGAACCGTACCTGGTGACCAACGATTGGCCCATTCATCCATCACACATCGCCATGCAGCTAACGGTTGGCGCTTGTTGGCAAGGTAACTGACTTGACTCCTTCCCCCTGTCCCATCAATGCTCAAGGGTACTAATAGTGAAGAGAGAGCAGTAAGCACTGTGAGAACTAGTCAGGAAAAGTGCTATTCCTTAGTGCCAAAACAGGGCTTGCAAAAAAAATTAGAAAAAATCTAGGCACTAAGCTTGTGTAATAATAAAGCACTTGGCATGAACCCAGATTTTGATTTTAGAGCAACAGGAGCAGTTTTCTGGTTGCCTCTGAGTTGCTAATGCTTTCTATTGTTCTGGCACCATCTGTGGTTTCAAACTGGGCTGAGGAGCAAAAGGGCTGAGGCTGCATGTAGAGTTGTGTAGCGTTGCTCTGTGAAGTGCTAGGTTGGTCCAGAATCCAGGGGCTCTCTTTCTCCCCACACAAGCTTCCCAACCCCCAACCTCTGTTGACTTCTGAGTGTCCAGAGATATAAGGCCGCAGGAGGTCACTCAAGTTCCCCTCAGCTCTGACCCCTTCCTTGCTCATTAAGGTGAGGACTTTCTTGTTGCTTTCCACAGACCAGGCATCATTTTCCTCCCTGCTTTCTCTCTAGTTCTCAAACCTGGGAAAATCTCCTCTTTGGGAAAAGTGGACCAGCTCTCCTAGGGCATGGGTAATCATTCTGTCTCTCACTAAGCTGGGTTGAAGTCTTTGTTTTGCCTCCCTAGAGAGTCACAATAACCCGAGAGCAAGGGGATAGAAAGTGTTCCACAATAAGCAGATTTGGAGATATGACCCAACTCCTATTGATGGGTTCTTTGAAAGCAACAGATTTGTGATGTTGACTATACGAGGCTAAGGGGGAGAGGTGGATTATGGGATAAGATTATGCCTTGAGTAAACTGGCGGAGCAAAGGCCAAAGGGTAAATCAGGGGACACGGGTTGGTTTGGAACCAAGAGTGGACTGCGTCATGGAAAGGAAAGGAAAATGCGGCATGGAGATCAGCTTCAGCACACAAAACCCAGGAGGCGACTCCCTGGAGCAAATGGAAGAGGAGGTTTTGAGCCAAGGTCACCTACTTGGAATCTGATATCCATCACTTGGTAACCAAAAGGTCATGAAACATTTCACGTTTCTGGTGAGCACTTCATCTGGATTGCGAAATTCCCAAGACTCTCAGAAAAGAGAGGTGGTAGCATCTGGCAAGAATCCATGGAACTAATTAGGAGAGCAAGGCACTGATTCAGAGATTGCACGGGAATCATTCGTCACTGAACACAGCTGTACCACAAGAAAGGCCCTCTCCTGTGGCTCCCAGCCCCATCTGGACACCACCAACTACCCACCTCAAACACCACCTACATGGATCATACCTACAGAGCACCCCAGTCATATCTTACTATGATCCTGGCCATGGCCCTTCCTTTAACAAGGGCCTTCAGAGACAATATCTTTTTATTTTTTTACTGAACCACAGTGAGATACAATTACAAAACTTTCATGTTTGAGTTTCAGTCAAGCAATTATCGAACACCCATCCCTCCACCAGTGCACATTCTCCACCACCAATATCCCCAGTATACCCCCCCTTTCCAGCCCTCCCCCTGCCTCCATGGCTGACAATTTTCCCCATAATCTCTCTCTACTTTTGGGTATTATGGTTTACAATACAGATAGTGAGAGTTTATCACGTTTGGTCCTTTATCTACTTTTAGCACATATCTCCCATCCTGAACGATTCCTCCAACCATCATTGACTTAGTGATCCCTTCTCTATTCCAGTTGCCTTCTCCCCGAGCTCATGATACAGGCTTTCAACTATGGGGCAGCATTTCTGGCCCTTGTGTATATGGTCCTTGGGTGTCAGTCTCATATTATGTTATTTTATATTCCACAAATGAGTGCAGCAGAGACAGTATCTTCATCCCCATCAACCCCAGCCAACCTGAATTGGTTTCCCACCATTGCCCCCCACCCCACTTCTGCAATTTCCACAAGGTCAGATACGACTGTGGCCTGCCCATTTCTGTACCTAATGGGTGAAGAAACCACTTCCACAAACATTAAAAGTCATCCTTTCAGGAATTAGGATGACCTCAAGTCAGTGAGAATAGGTTAAGGTGTACCACCATGACAAGAAAGTCCCAAAGGTCAGTTACTTAAAATGTTTTCCATTCATAATTACTGAAAATTAACAGAGAGCTCTGAGTCTCAGATGCAAGCATTCCCAGTGGCCACGTTGCTGGATCCTGAGGAAGAGAACAAAGAAAGCATGGTGAATCTCATAACATTCAACACCTTCAGGCGACACCAATTATTTTTACTCACTTTGTATTGACCAAAGCTGGCATGTGGCAACACCTGATTCCAGCAGGACAGGGCCAGAAACCTGCCATGTTTCTGAGATGAAAGTGGAAAATAGGTTCTGAACAGCAGCAGAGTCCAAAGAGACTTGTTTAACTGTTCTTCCCATGTGAGAAAAAAACACTCATCTTCCCCTAAACAATCCCAAAGTGCCACAGTTACTGGTCCCAAATTCAATGGCCATGCTTCCTGGGACTCTCTTTATCAGGGTGAAAATGTAGGTGGTCTTTGCTGGGAATATCTGTTGCCTATTTTTAAAAAAATAGGAACTTTTGTGAAAGTGAAAAAAGTAAACAATTTGGATATTTGTAGGAAAGAAGTATTTGCCACTCATATAGCCAATGTTACACATATACATACATACACACACACATACACACACCGCAACATTGGAATGAGGAAAAATAATCATAATACTCACCCTCACAAGAGAAAGAATTTAAGAAGCACATCAGTCTGTGGTCCATAGCAATTCTGAAATTCCTCTGGGCAGCTGCTTCAAAAGAACCCCCAAGTTAGGGTGGGGATTGTTTTTTGTGGCCCTTGACCCCATTCCCCTGCTGCTGTTTCTATATTCATTGTCTCACAAGGTCCCACATAAAGAACTAAAGATAATATTTGACTCCATCCATAACATCTCTTATGTTGTTGAGATACTACCCAACCTCCTATTCATGGATTCTTTGAAAAAAGCACACTTAAGATTTTGAGCTTATTTAAGAGCTGTCACCGTCATTGTCCTCCCGTTGTTCATCGATTTGCTCGAGCGGGCCCGTAACATCTCCATCGTGAGACTTGTTGTTACTGTGCTTGGCATATTGAATGTGTCACGGGTAGCTTGCCAGGCTTTGGTGTGTGAGCGAGATACTCTGGTTAGCTTGCCGGGCTTTCCAAGAGGGGCGGAAGAATTGAACCCAGCTCAACCGGCCGGCTGCATGCAAGGCAAATGCCCTACTGCTGTGCTATCGCTATGCCACAAAAATGCTTTCAAACATTAAACCAAGTCAAGCATTTCTTTTCTAAGAATGTGGGAGAAAGAGTGAGGATCGGGGTGGAGTGCTTCTCTTTTTTTTCCAAAACACAAAAACAGCTCTTCCCTGGCGTTAGATGTGGTCGTGGTATTTCCTTTGGCTACTAACATGTCACTGGAAGTTTCTCTGGTGGGAATGAACTATGGGACGTCAAGGACTGCGTTCCATCCCATCCTGTTAGAACACACTGTTAGTCTCAACTTGCAGTTAAGGATACAGGACAACTACTGGAAGAGTGGGTGTGGGATATGAACTGGAATCAGATCGCACTCTCTCTGGGTCCTTGGAGATGTGCATGTTTCCCCTCAAAGTAATGCCAGGTCATTGGGAGATTTTTAACATAGGAGAAAACTCCTGAAAACTCGTTCAACTTGAGCTGTATGAAATGAGGAAGAAGAGGGGGAAAAAATGCTATGCTGGGGTAAGGAGATAGCACAGTGGTGGTATCCAGCACCATGTGGTTGCTTGAACCTCACCAATTGAAGCCCTGGAGGTTTTCAGTATTGCCAGGGTCGCTTGCATATCCCAGCACTGCATGCTCAAGGCCTTGCATTGAACTGGTTGACTGGTTGACCAAGAATTGCCTTGGGGTCCCTTTAGCCTTCTGAGCATCCCTTGGGAGGCCCAAATGAGAGAGAGAGAGAGAGAGAGAGAGAGAGAGAGAGAGTATATGACAGGATCTCTTCCCGTGTACATGCTCTGGAACACATGGGGAAGAGGTGGAGAAGAGCGCAAGACCAGGGAGCATGGCCCTGTCTTGTTAAGGAACTTAGATTTTCATGAGTACTTAATATCTTCTTTGCAGCCACACTTTTGTCTTGGGAAGACACATACACAGAGCCTGCAAAAGGACATGGCACTGCGAAATTAATAGCCCATGATGCAGTCCTTTCCTCAGCGAGCTTCTAAACCTTCGGAGGTCCACTTATATACATATTATAAGCCCACCGTGTGAACCTCTAATTGCCTTGGGGCCTGCAGTTGTGCGGAGCTGCTGGTATTGGTTGTTTTTTTTTCCAGGTACTTTTAAGGTTGGCAAGGGAACTGGCTCCTACTTGTAAAATTTCCAATCAGGTCTAACAAAGAGGAGAGAAAATAATTTGATAGCAGCTGCCCATGGGGTCCTCCGGGGAACTGGCTCCAGCCCCACTGCCAATCAGACTGCTGTGTCCTGTTAGTGAATCAAAAGCCAAAGTTGTCCGTGAAACTGCATTTTCATGGGTATTTTTCTACCAGTAATTAAAAAAAAAATATTGAGTCTTCATTTACACTTATGCAGCGTTGCCAGAACAGCCTGCGGCTTGAACACATCTTCCTGGCATAGAGCATTTGGTTTTTGCAGTCCAAATGGCCTCACGTCAAGGCAGATCCTTTCTTTCTCAGCGAGGCTGTGTACATCTGCTTGCCCTCATCTGGGTGCTGATGAAACATGCTCTGGGGATGAATCAGACCCTCTGGTGACCCAAGGCAGTCATGACTCAAAAACCACTGCCTTGAGACAAATTCTCTCCCTGCATCCAGGCCACAGGAGGAGACATTTCAAAATGTTGCTTTGTCCTTTCCCAGGTATTTTCTGCTTATCCCTTTTTCAGCAGTGAAATTTCAAGTCCTGTTATTTGTAAGTAGCAACAACAGGAGACCATGTATGCTTGGCC